GACCGGGCTGCTGGCGGACGAGGCACCCGCAGACATCTGTTTCGCCATCGGTGCCATCGTGAGCGTCACAGCATTGATCCGTGGCCCTGCCAAAGCACCCTCCTGAGCAGCCCCAGCAGTGCCAGGTCTCACCATGGTGAGGCCGCTGCCAAGTTTTGCTTCTCCTCACATATTGAACTGTTCCTGCAGGATGAAGCCCGTGAGCTCTCCTTAAAATCAGGAGCATTTTAAAACACCGTTTCAGCACCCTCACGCTGTTTCTGAGAAGCGTCAGTTCCTACAGATGTGGTAGAAACACACCTAAAGGGAATAGCAACTTCACCATTTTCTACACTGACACTAAAGAAAATTCCCCAAAGCTACGAAATCTCAGGGAACCTAATTCTCATCTCAGAGGTGAGTTAAGGACAGAAACTGCTTTTGGAGTCCAAAATTTGCTTCTGCTAATATCAACTGCTAATATTTGCAGGGTATAATGACAGATATTAAGAAAGTAATCCATAATGGACACAGGTATTTATACAGAGATCAGCGTTTCGCCCCAGACTGCCATCTTCCAGCAGCAGCAATCGGCTCCGAGCGAGCGTCGTCCGGGCCCCTGGTCGGCACCGCAGGAGCCCGATGCAGACGCAGCAGACTCTGCTGCCAACACTCACCTCACAAATGGCTCTTTCCAGTGGTGCCCAGCGACAGGACAAGGGGCAACGAGCACAAACTGGAGCATGGGAAGTTCCGTCTGAACATGAGGAAGAACTTCTTCCCTCTGAGGGTGACGGAGCCCTGGCCCAGGCTGCCCAGGGAGGCTGTGGAGTCTCCTTCTCTGGAGATATTCAAGCCCGGACAAGGTCCTGTGCAGCCGGCTCTGGGTGACCCTGCTTGGGCAGGGGGTTGGGCTGGGTGACCCACAGAGGTCCCTTCCAACCCCTACTATTCTGTGATTCTGTGATCATTCCGTTCTACAAGCAAACGCGACCGTAGCACGGGGCCACAGAGCAACAACGCCTTCAAAGGCAGAGTTTGACGCCCCCCCCAAGCACCCCAACGACACAGCCTTTCTGCTAAGAAGCGGAGCATTCCTTACCAGTTCAGAGAATTCATTATTGCCCAGATCAAGTCTCTCCAGCTGAGTCAGCTTGTGCATTGACCTGTAACACATTAGGAGATGCCGAAGATGAAATTGTTACTTGCAAAATGTCAGTCAAACTGTATTTAGAGAAAAATAAAGCTCTAATGATACTGTTATTGAGAAAAGAATTACACCTGACTGACGCTGACGCAAATGAGAACAATGTGCTCCGTCCTTAGCTCAAGTTCTTGAACCAGAAAGCGATCAACAATTATTTCAGTGTAAAAATAAACATAAAATCTTGGTATAATTTTGCATAGTTGCTCAAAGAAAATGACCCACGTTATATTCATAAGCAACTGAAAATAATATATAACCTGTGACATTTTTGATACACATTTATAAATCTGCTACCAACTTCTTCATAAACCGCTGGGAAGCGTTGGGGCCCTGCTGCTGTGCCCAGGAGCGGCACGCTGCGCGAGCTGAGCCTCGGAGGG